TAATAATAATAATAATAATACATAACCAAATCCCGAACCTTCTGTCTAAAATTCCACAAATGAACCATATCATCGCGACAGGCTGTCACCAGTGCACCCTAAATCAAATTATTATCACTTAAAACAACCGAAACTACTGAAAAAAGATCCATTTTGTTCCACCGAGTGAGAAAAAATGTGATGAATTCTCAGCTGCTTAGTAACATTCACTCAATTTCCCACATCGGTTACATTTCACTACCCACAAATTCAATTTACCACAATCACAATCCGTTCATTAGTTTGCCTCTTAACACAACAATAAAATTTCATTATTCGTTACAAAATAATCGGAAACAAATTCGTTTGCTTCATTAAAAGAACACACAAACGATCGAAGAACACTGCACTCAGATTGAAGCCTTCACCCATCCAATTCCTCTGAGATTTGTTTCAGTCAAATACGTTTACGGCACAATAAAGTACACGTGTTGTGATGTTCCTTTCTTTTACCCTCTTATGCCCAATCAATGAATTATTTCAAACAATCAATTCATTCACTACCCATCCAAACCAACTACCACTAATTCTTATCCAAACCTTGATCTGATCATGTTAAATTATATAATTCATCGCAAACAGATCAAGGCTGTAAATAAATTTACAGATTTCGGTAATAATTTAATAATCTTTACAAAAATGATTTATCATCCGCATACTAATAACAATAATGATGATAAGAATAGCAATGATAATAATCTAAAACGAAAACAACTGCGAAAAAAATCAACGACCTCATTGACCAAGAACTGGATATGAGTGACGGCGGCATCAGAGGTGTGTTTGAGGGTGTAGTCCACGCCGATATCACCCATAATCCGCACCGTGCCATGCCCCGTACCTATGGCTATGAGTCTTTGTACCGCATCGTAAGCTATACACCGAGGGTCATCTGGAAACCCGTGACGAACTATCTGAATCATCACTCGTTCCTCATCTCAGTACAACTTTTATTAGCATCGCAATAAACAACCAACAAGCACGAACCTGAGCTAAACAAACGTGCTCGGCACAGACCTTCTCATCGAACTCTAACTCAGTACGTCCATGAAAGTTTCTCAAGCCATCAATCGCAGAGACAAGCTTCTTCTTGGCTCGATCCATGATTGATCAATCGATACAGATCAATGAACCAATACTCATCAACTGTTTACTTCAAGTTATCAACATTACATTTATCTTTTACATGTGAAGTGATAAACCTGAAAGTATTTTAATGCTGATATCATAAAACCACCGTGTATTTATTCATCTCGTATTACAGCGTTTACAAGCCAACCTACATTTCTATGAAATTCGGTAAGCTTCATGATCATAATCGCAATCGTAATCATGTGTTGCATCTCATCATCATGTCTGCCTCTTCATTTACAGATAAGATCAGCAAAACATAACACAACAACATATAAGCTCAAGTAGGTGACCAAAGCAGAATGTTACAAACAGAGGATTAATTCATCGTATAGGTGGATATGGTGGGTGCATGAGCAAGCTTCTAAATTTCAAATCGCATCAAGAAGTCACTCGATTGATTCACGATCAGTGTGAAACAATCAATGCTCGTGCTCTACGTATTAAAATAACGTGAAATCATTAGATTCATCCTCTTCACGAATATTAAAATGTCTCAAACAATCGTTCACCGATCAGGGGGGTGGG